CGAGCTAAATCGGATCGATTGAAGGAGTAGTTCACTTTAAAAAAAAACTTTTGCTGATAATTTACTCACCCCCATAATGTACAATGTAGATTTTAACAGTTCAGTTGCGAGTTGCACTAATGGCTGAGCCCACTGCTCCCCCTCCCTTTCGAAGAAGCTATGACTTTGCTAAAACGGGACAAACATATTGTCGTCTTAAACAGCAGAGAATAACCAGAGTAAGCCAAGAGTGTGAAACATTGTCACTGTTTCAGTCCATTATAAACCACATCATTGATAAAGTTTACAAAGCCATAGTCAGGTGAGGATCAAGGGTCTTAATATATAATATAATAATATAGTAATAATCCTGTTTTTTCTAACAGGATAGTAAAATTTTAGCTGGCTAATATGAGTTACTGTGGCTGAGCTGGTAAAAGCGTAAAGCATTGTTTGAACTTGACGCACCCGCATGAGCGCAAAGGTGTGCGCGGCAAAAATGACGTGATTGTAGCAAGCGCCCCCGCCTCCGTATCCCATAAACACAATTAACTACACACAAATTTATAAATAATAATGAATATAAATTGTTTTTTTTTCTCTGGTTTTGAAAACTCTTCGCGATCGACTTAAAATAGTACTAATCAGCTGATTGTCAAAGCTATAACACAGCAAAGGAGAAGAACTAAATTACGTAATCCAACTACATATTTTACACCACTGACAAGGGAAAAGTTAGTACTCATGGTGTCTATGGCTAGATTCTAGCTTTCTGCGGCTTCTCTTTCAAAGTATGAATAAAATACGCTCTGTAGCGCTGTTTGTTCTCTGTTGGCTACGGTAGAAACATGAAGTCACAATATGTCAACTTTCATAGAAGGGGGAGCCCACAGTTGTATGTAGATATAAATGTCTCATTTTAAGGTAATACAAACATAACAGTTCACTGAGTAAGGTCTTTATACACCACTGAACACATAGTTATGGATCGTATATTGCATTTCTGTCAATAGATCCTCAGAAATATTACACATTGTGCCTTCAATAATTTTGTTTAAAAATGTATGCCCATAAATCACAAACCAACCAAACAAACAAAAACAAATAAATGAAAATCACAAACTAGTCCTGTTGCTCCTTAAGTTTTGTTGTTGTATAAAATAAATTATTTTCGTACTGCATAAATAAAATGGATGTCTGGCTTTCAAGGTGTCCAAAATGTTGATATTGTGCTGTCCTCTTGTGTTCACATTGTCAAACTACACTTAGAATGAAAGCTTTATTTTCTATTTTGAATCCTCATTTATGGTTTTAATAAAACATTAAATGATCCAGAAATGATGAAATGTGACAATGTGATTTGCATGCATATTCTGTATATTTCCTTCATATCTCTGTGCCTATCTGTTTGAAACTGTACAGGGCTCGGATGGGGAGTGTGTGAATATTATCACGTGAGATTGTGATTTTACAGAATTTTTTACCGATTTATATATAATGAATATTTTACTTGAACAACATGAAACAAATTCAAAATATGTGTATGACAGTGTGTCAAGTTAAATAAATAAATAAATAAACCAAAGTTAAATCCAAACTCTGAAACAACCCTACTGACAATATTGCAGTGAAGCTCTAAAAAGATAATTTTATCATTCAGTTAATCAAAAAACGTTTTTTTTTTTTTGTTTTTTTCATTTCTGCCCTGTCCAGTATATTTGTAGGCCTACATTTGTCGCCACAATATAATGCATGGACATTTTTTTTTTTTTTTTCAAAAGCACATTCTTTTTCATGATCATGAAAAATTTTATTCATGAAAAATGAGATGTCTATTTATTGTTCTGATGTTGTTACTTTTAAATCTGGGAAAATATTTTTGAGAAATATAGAGTGGAAATAGGGATTTACTACTTTGAACTGGCTACTTTGGATGTAGTACTTCTCCAAATTATACTACAGTTAAAAAGTTTGGGGTAAGTACTTTTTTTTTTTGTGTGTGTGAAAGGTACAATATGCAGGATTTTTCACCACCAGAGGTCGCCAACCTCTTACAATAACAAAGGTGTTTATTAATGACATATGCATTTAAAATGAATTCTGGATCTTGTCTTCAATCTGATGGATCTTTTATGGATGAGTGAATACATTGATGTTTTAACATGACTGTAGTATGAAGCAGGGTGCGATTGCAAGACGTATACCAGCGCCACACGCAACGCGAGTCCCCACGGATTTAAAGGTATAAGGACATTTCATTCTACCGAACTACCCACAAGTGCTGAATTGGGCTTACTCGTTTTCCGGTTCGAATTCTGGGCTCTCGGGATGGCCCCTATTAGTTAGGTCAGTTTATTAGAGCAATGAAACTTGAGATAATGCAGCACTGTTTCCCTTGCTCTAACTGTACGTTCACACCGTCGGCGACTTGCGCTTCCAAAGCGGCCAGAAGTCATTCATTTTCAATGGAAGCTGGCTTTTCTCAGCTGCAAGGAGCGTCAAATCCATCGGCGTAGCGTTTTGGGTGTTTTGAGTGTCAATCAGAAAGTTGAAAGAAGTGTCAGTACACGATCTGTTCCACCTGCATGATCCGTTCTATGCAAGCGCAGTAGACGCAGTAGAAAACTCAGAATCGCAAATGATAAATCTGTTTTGCGATGCTACTTTTGATTTACGACACTTGCTCACAGCGAAAGAAAATGGAATCCAACAGAAGAAATGAGCGAAATGAGAAGTTTGCCCTTTACGCTGCCATTAGACAATATCTGGTTGACTGTTTGGTGGTGGCGGTGTTAAAGAAGAAGGTTTCACCAACTGCTGCAAATTTCGTTATAAGAGGTACGTGCGTGCATAGACATCATCATATAGATAGACGGCCTATCGACGGCTGTTGGCGCGGTCGATGATGCAGGACACATGGTTTGGCTTATTTTAATATTAACAGTAATATAATATTCTGGTATAAAATATACAGTGACCAGACACAATATATGATGTATGTGATGTAAGTTAGGATATAATGTATTTTATAAATCACACACTATGATAAAGCAGAAAGAGATAGTTGCACACTCTCACACACAAAAAACAGACACCCCAACAAATTCACTAAAGTCACTGTCACTTACCACACACAATGATGAACAGCTTCGAAGTTTGTTGGTAACAGTTGGTTGGTTGTTCCAAACTCATAAAAATTACTAACCTTGTGTGTGTGTGTGTGTGTGTGTGTGTGTGTGTGTGTGTGTGTGTGTGTGTGTGTGTGTGTGTGTGTTTGTAGTGAGCCATGATGCTAAATATCCAGTATGTTTTTAAGAATTTTAAAGGGTTAGTTCACCCAAAAATGAAAATTATGTCAGTATTTACTCACCCTCATGTTGTTCCAACCCCGTGAGACCTTCGTTCATCTTCGGAACACAAATTAAGATATTTAAGAGATTAAGATCGCTCCTGCATACAGTCCATAGGCTTCTTGAGGGACTGACTCTTGCTGTCCCCGAAAAGTCATTAAAGACATCGTTAAAATAGTCCAAGTGACTACAGGGGCTCAATCTTAAGTTTATCAAACGACGAGAACACTTTTGTGCGCAAAAAAACAACAAAAATAACGACTTTATTTCAACTATTCACTTCCTTCTCCATGAGCCTGTAAGTCAGTTAACGTAGTGTGATTGCGATTGCGTAGAGCTACGTCACACGTAGGCTCACTATTGGCCGACGCTGGTCATGTGTGTGTGATGCGTGTGACGTACAATAACAGAAGCTTACGCTATTAAACTAGTAACCTGACTCGCGCAGAGGGAGAAATAAACGAATAGTTGAAATAAAGTCGTTATTTTTGTTGTTTTTTTGCGCACAAAAGTGTTCTCGTCGTTTGATAAACTTAAGATTGAGCCCCTGTAGTCACTTGGACTATTTTAACGATGTCTTTAATGACTTTTCGAGGACAGCAAGAGCCAGTCCCTCAAGAAGCCTATGGACTGTATGCAGGAGCGATCTTAATATCTTAAATATCTTAATTTGTGTTCCGAAGATGAACGAAGGTCTTACGGGGTTGGAACAACATGAGGGTGAGTAAATACTGACAGAATTTTCATTTTTGGGTGAACTAACCCTTTAAGAGTCGTCTAAAATTCTATTGAAGTGCTGAGCCTGTTGATCGCCAACTAGTAGTGAAATCATCACATATCCATTGATTTTGGTTGGATTTTTATATTTTTTTTCTGTGGATTGAGCAAGTGGAACTAAAATGCAGAAATACTCAGATTGTATTCATGAATGTGTGGTGCTGTTAGTGACTTTAATAAGGTCAAGGGCATAAGATTAAAAAAATACCTGTAAATGTTGGCTTCTTGATTGTAACTCTCGATTAATGACAATTACTGTAATTCAAACTGAACGAAAACATTTGGAGTTTCGCACCGACAAAAATCGTTGTTGCCTACCCCATGTTATCCTCTTTTTAAAATTAGCACCCTGTTGACTTCAATGGGGTAAGTTCTAAACCTGCTTAGCCTCTTAACATTATTACTGAATATAATACTTGTTTAGAAGACAATACAAGAAAATGGTAATGATAAATCATACACATTTTTCCTCATTATAGCTGTGTTCATTGTAAGAAAGCCCTTTGATCAGTGAATACTATAAATGGCTAAGTCTGAAGCCTCAGAAAGTCCCAGCTGAGTGTCTCACAGATTTGTTGATGTGTGACATCACTGTGGAATTTCCGCCAAAGTGCCGCTATCTGTGTGATCTGTTTGTCTGCTCGATAAACAACAGACATTATGAATTTTCACCTCAAGGCACATTCTGCTACCCAGACAACATTGCTTTAATGCGACACTATCTTTATTGTTCAGAGGTGAAAGAGCCCTTATTTCATTTATTTTTATTTTTTATTTCACACATTTGTCTCATTAAACTGTATTCTACAATTTATTTTAAATTAAGAATAGTGAAGGCATTTTATGGAATATGAAGTTTATTCAAATACAAAATTGGCAGTTTTAAAAGAGAAAACAAAAAAATTATATTTTAACAATAGAAATAATACAAAAAAGGCACATATTTTTGACCCTCTGACACATACAAAAGAACCACACGCTGAAATGTTTAGTCTGACTGCTCAACACTGACATCTACTGGGCCTCCTTCTCATCAAATCTGTTTGTTTAGAACAATGTTCATACATTACTATACACTTTTAAACAGGCCATTATGTCAAGAAGCGCTAATTCAAAGCATACATAAGGAACAATCACATATACAGTCTACTGAAGGCCCCAACTTATTTCAGTGAAACAGTTCCAGTTTTTTTTTCTGTACATTGTTTTACTTGAGAAATACCAAACATCATTTCCTTTATGAGAATGAGCAGTTTATGATTTTCACTTAAGTAATAGTATTTGCCCAACAGTTATACAGTATATTGATTGAACATCTAATTCTACAACCAGAATTATAAAGATACATTTAGAACAATAAGATATTCCCCTAAAATAATTTAAGAAAATGATGAAAACAGATGTACAGTCAAATTAAATAGTATGGTGAAAAAAAAAAAAAAAAAAAAAAAAAAAAACATTCAAGAGCAGCACCTTTTGTCTTGAAGGACAATGCTTTATGACCAAGACAGTGTGATTTATGTTGTTCTTTAGCATTTCCCTCCTCTCCAAAGTTTTCTTTCTTTATCCTTCCAAGACAAGAAAACAGGAAAAAAGTTTTCAATCTGTTCCTACACTTGAAAGATAAGGGAACAGGAAGTGTGTTTCCTTGTGCTCACACAGACAGGAAGTTGACATTTTAGTGATGAAGCTGGTCATTTTAAACAAGACGGTAGAACAGTTCTTGGCGTGTAATTCCCTACAGGAAAGGGAGAAGGTGGCTTCCACATATTGTGCCCGTGGTTAAAGGGGGAAATAGGTTTGTGCACAGAGGTAAATTGTTTAAAGACAGTTTACATTTTTTTTTTTTCTAATGGAAGGAGATCCTTTTGTCTATTTAGTCTTGAATGAAGGATGAACAATATTGTCAAGACACTGGCTGGCTTGCAACATGTTTTGGTTTAACAATCATCAAATTAACATTTAGCAATTTCAGCCTTACATTATTCTCGTTTGATGCTGTTAAATAGCCACACTTATGATTCACATTGTAGTACAGTTATTGAAACCAATTCTCGCATTTCAACAGGCATACAACTCACTACACATTTCCTGAGACGTCTGCAATTGCCTTATTATGGTTGACCTTTGAGATTTGGGGTTTATACATAACAATCGATGTGCTGATGATTCCTGTCAAATAAACTTGGAGTAGCCTTTAATTCTTTCAAAGTACTGTTATCACCACTTCCTCTGTTGCTCCCACGGCAATACAGTAGTTTTCCTGATGAGAAGAGTCTGCTGAACAATGCTGGCTTACCAATTACTCTGACTATGAGTCCAGAAAACATTTGTATACATAGAAAAAAAAAAAGATAATCACAAAATGAGGGTTTTACAGAAACATTGCGACTAGTAACTTTCACGTTTTGGTAAATTGGATGCAAATTTGTATTAATTTGTCTATTTACTACTCCCTGACAGTTAGGTTTAGGGGTGGGTAATGTTTTCACACAAATCTTATCATACGAATTCATATAAATTCTTTATCAATTTGCCAAAAAGTAAAAAAAATGGTTACGCTTTTCCATGAGATTGGATTGAGTAATACAATAGGCAATTAGGAGGAAAAAACAAATCCTCCACAAAATAGTGAACAAGGAAGTACTCGTATATTGTGTTAAAACAAATTCAACTCTGCTATAAAGATAATACAGCCTAAAAGTGAGTTTGTCCAACCAGTGTCCAATACTGTTTTATAAAATTCCACCAAGACAAAAACCAGTCTAAAATACCAAGGCAAGTTATTCTACCAACACACACTTATTCTATGAAAATTACAAATACAGTAGTGGTGCTCATCATAATTTCATAACAATGCTTGAAGGAAACAAGTATTGGCACTTCTTAATCACGATCTTAAAGGGACCCTTACAAAAATTCCCTTGAAGAGAAGACAGCAGTCTCCATGTGTCTTCCTGGGACGGTCACCTGATGACAATGGGCTTCAATATAGGATCAATAGGAGCTATCGGTATCAGAGCCGTCTACTCCATAGAGCTGAGCCAGGGTCCTGAAACGAGGTCCCCACTCATTTAAGAAGTCGTAGTCCAAATTGGATCCACTGGAGGACGAGTCCAAAGAGCTGAGGGAACCGGCCAGGGATTCAGATCCCTCATAACCATAGATGTGTAAAGTATCGTAGGGAATCCCATCACGGTCATGGTCTGCCTCATCCTTCTTCACCTCGATCATCATGGCCATGTCACCCTTACAAGCAGGAGGTTTCTTCACTATAGCATAAATCGAAGGCCCCACGCCAGGCCGAAAGCTACTATCGTGACAGGCGGAGGTCAGGATGGAGACGTCATAACCATTTGTGTCCATCTCTCCACCGCCTTCTTCGTCATAACTCACCAGCTGCTCGTGGATCTCGCCAGACGACTTGGTGACTAAAACGTCATTCTGATAGCGCCTCCGCAACACAATGAGGATGACGATGACTAATATAAGAGAAATAACACAATATCAATATAATCTCTCTTTTTGTCATTCATTCACAAATAATCATTTGAACATATTCCAGTTTATTTCTGTAATCTAAACTCATAATGAAATTTGCATTGACGGCACAAGTAAATAAACATAAAGTGGAACCTGTTAGAATTTCAAAATAGCCGTATTATTGAAAGTCTCTCACTATTACGGGTTTGCATGAACCTCAACACTTATGGTGTGACTGCAGATCAGTGGATTGGGTAACACTTTAGAATACAGTTCCTTTGTTAATGAATAACTACACAAGAACCAATGAGTAACACAATATTAACAATCTAGTAACTATTATTAACTAACAAGAAACTCTGATTAACGAACTAGTAAGTAATAGCGCACAGATGAAAGTGGTAGTTCACTATTAAGTAATCAATAACTACTATTTTATAATACTTCCCAGAGAACTACTGAAAAAGTTTATTAACAATCTAGTAACTACTATTAACTAAAAGAAACTCCTATTAACGAATTAGTAAGTACAGTAATAGCTCACAGATGAAAGTGTTACTAGATATTTCTGTGGGAATTACTAATTATTTGGGTTCGTATTATAAAGTATATGAAGATCATTGGAACTAACTAGTAATGACTCAAGTGTTACTAAAGACATTTTCTAAAAGTATAATAAAGTTCACCAAAAATCTCCAACGTTTTCACAAATCATGACTAGATCATGTAGTAACACTTGAGTAATTACTAGTTAGTTCCAATGATCTTCACTTTATAATACGGATTTAAATAATTAGTAATTCCCACAGAAGTATCTAGTAACACTTTCATCTGTGAGCTATTACTTACTAATTCGTTAATCAGAGTTTCTTGTTAGTTAAGAATAGTTACTAGATTGTTAATATTGTGTTACTCATTGGTTCTTGTGTAGTTATTCATTAACAAAGGAACTGTATTCTAAAGTGTTACCGTGGATTTTTTTCATCACTTCTCTCTTGTTTCTCACATACGCAAATGTAAGCATACACTTCTATTTCAGAAAAGGTGTACAGACGCAAATAAAAATGTCTTCATCACACTTCATCTGCTATCAGTACCATTTACTGCTAGGTACACTTTACATTTACACTTATGCATTTAGCAGATGCTTTTATCCAAAGAGACTTACAACAGAGAGGAATACTATGCATCTGTAGTAATACGCACCATTTAGAGTTAATAATAACGTACAAAAGTGTAACTTTTAAAAAAGGTACCGCACCAGTAACATCTTTTGTTCTTTTAATTCTGAGAGTGCACAACATCTCATCACATACAGTGAACTAACCAACAATGACAATGACAGTGAATGTTGAGCCAGTGCCTCTCTTACATGGTCTTATTTAGACTGTTCGGTCCCTGGGTTATTTATACAATTACACCACTTAAAGGATCCAAAGATTGTGAATTAAACAAACACCATCCCCACTTGGGAAATTACAGAGAAAAGCCTTTCCTCAAAGACAGGATTTAAAATGTTTGCATGTATTATTAATATGATAACTCTCATGTCATGTCATGAATCCTTCATAACCTGTTTTGCTGGGCCTAATTAAATGATCCCCTTGGTTTTTAAAAATGTGTTTTCTTTTTTTGCCTTAAAAAAATAAACACAGAAGAATAAAGAATGTGTCGTTGGCCTTGCAAGGATATCGTTGCAACAGAAAGAAGAAAATCAAATGAGATAAGAGATGTGTGTAAACGTACCCAGGATGGTGACGATGCAGAGAAGAATGGCTAAGAGGGCGCTGACGCTCATTCCGGTCTGGGCGTAGGCCATACAGTACTCCATCCGTCGTTCCGGTTGACATTTGCACACTTTAATCGGGAGTAGGTTAATGCTCTTCATTTCTGGTGTGCCTCCATCAGTGATTTGGATTTCGAGCACATGTTCCACTGAGTGCTCTGTACTGAAACCTCCTTGCCTCAGTATAATGCTCGAAGTGTTGTCTACAATGAATATTAATAATTGAAGAGATGCAGTCATTCATTTTACGCTTATTCAAGGGAAATTACTGGCTATGTTTGCCACAGGTGCAAAGCACAATAATTTTAATCAGCTGTGCTATTGTTGTCATTGAACTCTGCTTTTGTTTTCTGTTGATGCTTTGAGGGAAATGTTGCTGAGATTCTTGTGACAATTCAATGCAACCAGGCTTAAGAATATCCCATTTCACACAATAGTAGGAAGAGTAAATCTTTACTTTGGCATTCATGTGGCATGAAATGAAATGCTATTCTAGCACATTTTGAGGAAAGCCAGTTGCAGCTGTATAAAGAAACATTCTGTTGTCACTGAATACATGGCTAGGAATAAAATAAAATAAAATAAAAATCTAGATTGCATTAATAAATAATTAAAATTATGTACACTACTGTTCAAAATAAACATTTTATGAGGTGACTAATTCATACGAATTTATACTAACTCACTCGGACGAATTCGTCCCATTTTTCCTTAATCGTAAAAAATTCATGAGTATAGCCCAATTCGTGTGAATATGTATGAATCACCTAGCCCTGACCCCACCTCTAAACCTGCCCATCACTGGGGTTTATACAAACCAAACTCATATAAACTCGTATGAATTTGTTCGAATTGGACGTGAGATAGCGTTGGATTTTTGGTAACGTTTAATTTTGAAGGTCCACTTTAGACATTCTACTACTATGCTACTACAAGTCATTATAGTATAATAGATTGTCTGCTTAATATCTGCTAACGCTTTTATTGTGATGATCCTCAACAGACATTCTACTGACTATTAGTAATTTTGCAACTACTTATACTAACCCTAACTTAAGTTAAGTTGGTTGACCTGTAGTTGGACCATTGAAATAAAGTGTAACCATATATATATATTGAGAATGAGGAGTCACGTGCCTATTTGGGCGGGGTCTGAGCCGGTCGGCCATGATGGTAGGTGACGCTATCGGTTACCAGGGTTTTTATCGGTTTTTAACGCAGCAGTTACTTCCAGGCATGGTAAAACAGTGCGGTATTGCGAGAAACTCCTCTACTACCGAGCTAAAAACACACGTAATCAATACTGTTTTGTCGTGGGAATCCTACCAACATGGCGGAAAGGGGAGGGGCACTGTAAAATGACGTCAACTCCTCATTCTCAATATATATATATACACAGTATATATATATATATATATATATATATATATATATATATTTGTTTGTTTGTTTGTTTATTTATTTTTTGTTGTTTTTTTAACTGTTAATTAACTGTGATGACAAAGCAGAATTTTCTGCAGTCAGTGTCACTTCAGTCAGTGATCCTTTAAAAATCATTTAAACATGCTGATATATAATTTTTATTCAAATTAAACTCCAAGACATGTGTATTAGTTCAAGTCAAGGCAGCTTAACAACCTTTCTGCCAGTTTAAAATTAGGAATCTGTCATTTTATTTCATTATACAGCTGGGAGGAAAGAAACCAGTGTTCTGAAAATGTTCCTCAGTCTGGCACATTTAGAACGTGGAGTGTCAGATCATAGATTTATTGTGCAGGGCTGCTGCTTTTAGAAAGCGTGTACCCAATGAATTTTAGAATACTTTGGTGGGTTTATTTCTATTCTTTTTATGCCTGATTACACTAAGAATAATCAGCAGTTAGTTTGCTTTGGAGTAGTTCAGGGACTAAGGATAAAACAATCTTGATGTCTATCATGAAGAAAATGTGTACAACTCAATGTTACAAAAATTATCCTATTTATAATGGTGGAGAAATTGTTTGAAGAGGATTAGCACCCCTGTATGCAATTGTAGTGAATATAATTTTTCTTACCTTGGTTATCTTGAAGGGAAAAGTTTGAGCTCTTTTTTGCCAGGGCGAAGCGGAACCTGCCTGAATTTTCATCCTTGTCGTAGGCACCAATAGTCCCAATGACCTGCAAAAGTGTAATAAAATAAAGATTATGGAAATAGACATCTAAAGGAAAGTCATTTTAAATTTAATAATGTGAAATGTATTTAGGTAATTCCTTACTGTTCCAGGTGTATCAGTCTCACAAACATACACGTAGGTCCCATTAATTAGTTCTGGTTCATTGTCGTTAATGTCAAGAACCTTTAGTTTAACCATTGCATAGGACTTTAGGCCTGAGAAATCAGAGAAGATAAAAGAAAAAAAGAAGAAGTTTTTTTTAACAAATTGTCTGTGGTGGTGATGATGATAATGATGATGAGATGCCTATTTTATTTAATCTTGTCAAACCTATTATTACATACTTCTATTTGTCTATGAACTCCATCAAAAGTTCATATTACTGCTGCTTGTCTAGTTTTTTTTTTTTTTTATTTAAAAACAATTTAACTACCAATTTTTGCTACTGCGTTCATTTTAATTTAGCCGAAGTACTGGCCAAAGTTGCAAACAACAACAAAAATGACAATAATTAGCACAGCTTAACAAAACAGTATCCAGATGTCATCCAGTTTGTTGGATTTCTTGAAACAAATCCTTGATTAGATCATTTAGCCAGAGCTAATTCAGTGACCTTTTGACCCCCCCAGTATATTCTTAACACTGAAATCTCAATAACCCGAGATTATTAAGAGTTTATATTTTGGAAACACAAATACTAAATGTTTGGACACACTTACTGTACATTAATTGACTACATTAAGTGCACGAGAAAAATGCTAACTTCCGCCTTGAGGGCGGATGTTGGGTACTTTGGTTCCGGTTGCCGTTGTTTACATCCTACATCAGTGGACCGGCTATCTAAAGCTTAGCTATCTAAATATATTTGTCTAAAACTATGTTCGTTTGTTCATTGTCAAGTCAACCAACACAGTTTTCACTCATATTTGGGTGGAGCCAGGCGCTGCTGCATTGTGAAAAGTAAACGATATTTCACATTTTGTCACCGCACCCAAGCAGTCGCTTTACAGAGTGGAGCGTTGCGTTTCCATGACAACTAGAAGGAAGTTTTTAGGCTACTAATTATTTATTATATTATACCCTTTACCAGGAGAAGCCCCTGGGTTTAGAACCTATTTTGAAAGGGAGACCTGTTTAGAAATATGTGTGAACAGCCTAATATGTGTTAAACAGCCTAACTTGATAACGAACGAACCAACGTCGGATACCTTTACTCCCTGTATGACATGTATAGTGGTTGTCAACACTGATCATGACATAGATAGTGGTTGTCAACAACATAGCCTCTGAACATCATAAACAAAACAATGGCCAACACAAACTGTTCTGGAAAATGCACTTTCTAACGCATGATTTCGCATTTTATAATGTATAGAGAGATATAACAGTTACCAAATCGCATAGCTTGAGCACGTAGCATGGCAACATTAATGTCTGAGTGATTCCACGTGTACCGCGTATGTACACGCCGTCAAATGTCCGAGCGAAACAAAACAAAATGTAGATCTACATCTGGGGAGCGATATTTATTTTTTCCTAGGATGGTAGGAGTGACGGGTAGGTTGGGGTTGAGGTAGTAGGTCATATGCTATATATATATATATATATATATATACAGAGGCGAACCAACAGTGAGTGGGGGCCCCAGGCAAAATTAATCAATGAGGCCCTTTTAAAATAGTTTTTTTTGTATATATATCTTTGTTTCCTAGAGATATAATTTTACAACATACAAAAACACATCTAACAGAACAAATGGTTTATTTTTTACAACATTAAAGTACTTACAGTATGTTTTATCAAGATACAATATCATTCTCAAGGTACAGTACATAAATCTTCATTCATAATCTATTGTCACCTTAAAAACACTGCTTACGAGCCTTAGCTACGGAAAATGCTGTCAGCTGCGTTTCAATAGCCCTGCAATTTGCGCACATTGAAATTGCAAATTGAAAATACGCTCAATGGAAACACGTCAATTTCGCAAAAACTCCCGTTTATCGCAAAAAAGTTTACGCTCTCATGAGGTTCAGGTAATTCGAAAAAGGATTTTTTCGCAAAACTGCAATGGAAACGGATTTTGCGCATTTACAGTCACCTGACTTAGAAGACGGAGTGTGTTTTCGGTCCGTGTCCGCAAATAATAATAATAATAATAATCATCATTAGCCTATTATAACATTTATTAGTCTACATAGCCTATGTAGAAAAGACGCTTTTATCCAAAAAAGGAACAAAGCAATTCGTCACATCGTCACATAGTACAGGTTAGACAATAATAATAATAGGGCTAAGATTATCACAAAGAAACACTCGATTTTGTCCAATATCCAAGAGTGCGTGCGGAGTTTGGAGCACGCACTGGATGGCAGACAGACGCGGGCGCGCCGTGAACACTTTCATTTTCCCATCAACAGTGGAATCAACTTAAAATACTCTATCATTTCTGGTTATACAGAAAATAATAATACGTTATTCGCAACTACTTTTATCTGCGTAATGTCACAATAACAAGAAAACGTTGTGCTTTTGTAAAATAACATAAAGCAATCAGGTCCGCTTTATGATCTTCGTGAACTGGAGCGCGAGACCTGAAACAATATAATTTATAGACTAAAGCTTGAAATGTCCACTTTAAAAAGAACAAATTCGAATCGTAAACTAATACCTTGATTATGTAATCCGAATGAAAGGTGCCGTTCTCTCTAAAGGTGCATCCGGAGATTATGTTTTTAGCTCGTTATTTTTTCAGACGCATAATAACTCTCCTATAGCCACAGCACTGCAGGAAAAATATCATAAATATCCATGTTCTAATTTGGCCTTAGAAAACCAGTAAAATCTAAATTTCTCCCCATATTAATTTGTGAATATTTTAAAGGGGGCAAAAAGTCAAACAAATATCTGAAAATTTGTTGAGATGTTATAGCGCAGCTATGGCGTGGTCAAACGAAAATGTTGGTGTTCAACTTTGCATTTTAAAAATATACAACAACCGTTCATTTTTCGTTTTGCAACGGCCGTTTGGACATAATACGAGATAGAGTTCTTTATTAAATTAATTTTTTTTTAAATTAAACAATAATTACAGGAATAGCCTCTCTAAACTTCAAAGAAATGCCACCAAGACATCGAAGCAGAAATAAGGGAGAAACGCAGGAACACCGTGTCTTTCCCTGCCATTAATGCTTGAATAACACACGTCTCCTTCCATTAATAATAATAATGTCTAGTGCGGTGCATATCTGTGAAATCTAGGTAAACTTACCAACGTCCGTTGCGAGAGGAAAAAAAGACGTTTTAGTCACAAAACTTTGGTTAATGGAACCACCGTCATTTCGCAAAATATTGTAAAAGTTTTGCGCAAATCTGTAATGGAAACGCGCAACGTTATCGTTTTAAAACATCTTTACAGAAAATAAATGTAGCCTATGCTACATATATTTTCTGTAAAGATGCTTTAAAACGATATGTAATGTTACTACTGTGAAAAATATGTGAACTGAACAACGAAACGATTTTTTTGTCATTAATTAGCTAAGTCAATCAATCATCATCATCTCATTCTCCATCACTTACCGCAGTCCTGTTTTCTCTTCTCCACTTCATCTTGCTTTTTTTTCACTTCTGGCTGCCAGTTGGATATGTCCTCTGCATGTTTAATTCATGCATTTTCGGATATGATTTTCGGTTTCAGAAACGCGAGTAAGCGCTGCGGCAGTTTGAAAAAGGCGCCAGAGGCGGCGAAAGCATAAGCAGCCTCGCGAGTCGCGAGAGAGGGGGCCCCACTAAGGGGGATGCCGAGGTGTTGCGGTGTCACTGCGTGTTATATTAATACGAACATTTTTGATTGTTTAAATGATCGGTCCTCGGGGGCCCCCTCAAAATCCGGGGCCCCAGGCAATTGCCTGCCTTGCCTGCCCTATTGCAGCGCCTCTGTATATATATATACACTGTGTATATATATATATATATATATATATACACACACACAATAATAACGTTAAGTCAACGGTATTCATAAACACGCTGAAAAGAGATTATGCGTGTTGATAGCATGCCAAAAATACGTGATACGTGTCATACGCAATTTCATGAGATCAGTCTGAGCATGGATGTTGTTGTGACTTAACGTTGCCTTCAAAATGATGCAAATACTGAGAAATGTAATATTTAAACCCCTTCTCTCTTGCTCTGGGGAGCTGGAGGAAAATCATTAGCCAGTCGATGAACATAATCGACTGTAATATTCGGCAAATGTTCAAGACATCTGGAGAAACATACATCCTCTACGTCGTCCATCAGGCTACCGGAAACTAGACACCCCATATCGGTTTCGCAGCCGGAACTAGCATATGCTAACGTGCACATAGTCCATTATGTAAATATGATGTTAATTAAAAGGCTTACACTAAAATTCTTAAATTATTTTTACAAATATAAATTGTGCTTGTCCACAAATTAAACATTTTATGTAATAATATTAATAAGAATATAAAAAGTGCAACTTATTTCCTGAAAAAAAAAAAAAAAAAAATCCTACCATTTGGTTTATCCTCATGTGCTGTAACCTGGAATGTGTGTAAGGATTCTTGCTCCCTGTCCAGTTGCCACTTCAAAGACAGATGTCCTTGTACAGGATCCACAGCTACAGGGCAGTTTGGGTCTTCAATAGAGTACCTAAAGGGATCATTAGATTCATTTTTGGTCTTATTTCCATCTGTTTACTCAGTACAGCAGAACACAGAAAGCTTTTCATCTTTTTTAAAACATGAATAAAAATGCAGGTCACTTTATACCGTATTTTGTAACCGATACTATCTGGATCCCTTGCTGAAACAGCTCCAATGCGGGGGTTCTTGAAGGGGCCCTCGTAGATGCTGAACATATATTCAGTTTGGCTGAAAACAGGTGGTTCGTCAACATCAATTACATTGATGGAAACTTCTGCTCTCTTCTGCAGGTTTGGTCCTTGGTTATCTGTTTTTGCAGACACTGTGTGCTCGTCCACGTTTACACTAAAAGTGTACGACTTTACTTTTTCGTAGTCAAGAGGCTGTGAGTGTTTGGAAAGAAAAAAATAGGAAAATAACAATTAAAGTGCTTAAATTTAGCACAGTCTTAAATATTCAAATCCCCTTCCCTCTGTTCTTTCAGAAATTGACTTCATCACATTACTTAAAACCAGTTTATATTGCTCTAAAGCTTTGTCAAGAAAGCTTTTCTTGGAACTGGAAAACATAACAATTACATTTATTAAACATCAAACATTGGTTAAATTTACTATAGAACACATGGCAATGGAAAAAGCTTGTATAGCTTCTTTAGAAAGAAAGAGCACTGGAGTCTATTTGGAAATGTGGTGCTTTAGAATGCTTTAGGTCCCTTTAGAATGCTTTTTGTTTTTTTTGGGGGGAGTAGAGGATTTAAGGATTAGGTTTCCTCCTGATGGTTACTTTTGCGAAAACCCTGTTCGGACATTGCCTTTGTTACTTTACATTCTTATATAATATGATTTTTTTTTTTTATTATTAAACTTATTATATATTAATCTGCAGGCATGTTCAGAATTACAATGCACCAGTCATAAAGTAGAAGTAATTAAATGAATTATTTTTAATATTCGGTTATTAATTATTATTTATTTCAGGTATTGTTATTTTTTGAACTGTAAAATGCAGATTACATTAAAAATGGCAGTATTTTCACGTTGTAAAATACTTTGTGCTAGACTATGTTTTTGAGTAATAAGGGAAAAAAAACAGCATTCTAAAAAAAACCAACAAGTTGGTTAATAACTTTTGTGGAAACCAATTTCCACGTTTTAAAGCTTATAATACTTACCACTTTAAGGCTAAGAATTCCATCTTTCTCATTACTTCGTTTGATTTCAAACATTTCAGCATAATGTTGTATATTAAAAGTAGGATCTTTGTTTTGTATCTCGTCTTTGTCCTCCACCTCTAATATCCCAATTTTAAATCCGATTTCGCTGTCTTCTTTTACATTAAAATGGTATTTTCCTGCAGGAAAAAAAAAATAATTACGTTCTGTTGGCACTGACTCTAAAAGTAATTTAGTCTAACACGCAGTGAGTCTTTGCAACATATTCAGTTACAGTTTTTAAGTTGACTTACCTTTCTTGAAGGCGGCAATGTTGTCATTTATGTCATTGATGTTGATGGTCACAATGGTAGTAGCAGAATTCCCAGCACTAACACTTGGCATATCTTTGGCTTGTATAGCAATTATGTACTGACTCTGTTTCTCACGGTCTAGGTCACTTCTCAATGTAATGATTTCACCTACAAAAAAAAAAAAAAACAAAACAACAAAACAAAACAAATATATATAATGTTACAAAAATAATTCTATTTCATAAACTAAGTAAATGCTGTTGCAAGAAAATCTATCTGTCTGTCTGTCTGTCTGTCTGCCAGCCAGCCAGCCTGTCTGTGTATATATATATATATATATTTATATATATATATATAGTTAATAAAACATCAACCAGGACAACTGTTTTTAACATTGATAATAACAATATAATAGTTAATAAAACATCAACCAGGACAACTGTTTTGACCATGAGTTTTTACCATTGATAATAACAATAAATGTTTCTTGAGCAGCAAATCAATATATTAGAATGATATTATAAGGATAATGTGACACTGAAGCCTGGAGTAATGATACAGAAAATGCCCTCATTGGAATAAGTTACATTTTGATAGATTCAAATACAAAATAAATAAATACATTTAAACAGTTTAAATTGTACAAATATTTAACAAAATTACTGTTTTTAATAAATTTTTCATCAAATAAATTTATCCCTGATTAGCATAAAATATTTACTACTGGCCCCAATGTTTTGAACGGTAGAGTGTGTGAATATAATTCAAATATACACCTTTATGGTTGATGTTGAAGAGGTCTGTCCCATTTAGCAGTCTGTACTCAATCATTCCATTTTGAGTGGTGGGATCATCAGCATCAGTCGCATTTACTCTCATTACTATTGATCCTACAAACATAATGTAAATGTAAACACACACACACACACACACAAAAATCATAGTTCCAATGAACTTTTTCTTAGTGTAACTTGATAAGTTTCGATATAGATAAATGTGAGAAGTGTACTGATTTTTAACCTTTTTTATTTTGCATAATATAAAATAATGCTGTTATTTGTATTATTTTAGAGTATTGCAGCATCCACATTTCATAAATCCATGATTTCAAGCTCGAGTTGTATCACATCATCTGTCTTTCTTGGTGAATCTGTCTGTCCACACATCTGGCCACCATGGAAAAAAAAAAAAAGAACTTTCTCTGTTTACCTGCTATAGAGGACTCGCTGATAGATCCAGAGAGGTCAGGTGGAAAAACAGGGCTATTGTCATTAAGATCCATGACCACTATAACAAACGTATCATCTTTGTCCATCAACTTCCTGTTTTTAATGTTGATTATTGAAGCTGAGAGTTTGTAGGTACTTTTCTTCTCCCGGTCCAGTTTTGCATTGACGAAGATATCCCCATTGTCATTTACAGAAAAAATGCCATTAGCACCTTCTCCAGAGAGATTATATCTCGTGAACTCAGAGAAAAGTGTATTCTCCAGCTATAAAGAGAAAGGGGTATAAAAAAGAAAGCATAATGTCAAACAATGATATTAAAGATTATGTGCATTAGGCCTTTCTATATACAGGGGTTGGACAATGAAACTGAAACACTGGCCAATGTTGGAGGTTTCACATCTATATGCCTGGCGGCCAATCTTCAGAGTGAAGCACGGGTGGATCAGTGATGGTTTGAGCTCCAATATCATGACAATCCTGATTGTATTTGATGGACACGACACTGCCGAGGACTACCCTTCTGGAGGATCATGAGCACCTGATGCTCAAACCGCTCAAACTGCATGATCATGCACCAACACACACAGCAAGACTTGTGACAGAAGGGTTTGATGAAGATGAAAGTGACGTTGAACATCTCCCATGGTCTGACAGTCACCAGATCGAAATATTATTGAGGTGTTTTGGAGGAGCGAGTCCACCAGCATCATATAGTGACCTGGACACTGTTCTGGAAGAGGAACGGCTCATAATCCCTCTGGTCACTGTGAAGGACTTCTATCTGTCAATTGGTGCTGTATTTGGATGCAAAATGAGGCCCTCACCATTCTAACAAATTATTGTGTAGTAAAACCAGGTGTTTCAGTTTTTTTGTCCAACCCCTGTAGTAACACATCAGAAGACTCTTCAATAACCTTTGAAGTAGATCTTAAAAAGTAGTTGATTAGCATAATATTCAAACTAGCACGTTTAGAACCTTTACCTTTCCAATTTTTTCAGGTAGTTTGTATGAAGGTGCTTCCTCATGCACATAAAGTTTATCCCATTTCCAATCTCTCTTATGTCTTTGGAGTACTGTGCTCGGCATGGAGGGTGTTTTCAGAGCTTGCTGGACATCAGCTCCCATACTGAGGGTACATAAAACGACCAGGATACCTGCCCAGCATCCAGGCTCAGTCATCTGCCTCCAGGCAGACAGTTTCATTATCTATGGACCATGTGAATGGAACAACAAATCACACATATATACATTAATTAATATCTTTAAAACATGGTTACTTTAGCCTCACAAAACTAGATGTGTTAAATAGAAAGAAATGCAAAAGAAAGAAAGAAAGTCCTTATCATATACTAACATTTTAAAAGAATCAGTTGATACAGTGCAATTATTGTGTACATAAATTTTACTTATATGTAAAAAAAAAAAAAAATCAATTAATTTCTGCAACATACATCAATTACACTGTTGACTCTTCCCTTACACATTAATCCATCCTTAAACCCACCCTCACAGTAAAAAAAGTTGCTGCCTTAATTTAGTACACTCAACTTGGATGTTTCAGTTATTTCAACTTAAATGACATTTAACTGACATTTTAAAAATGAGTTGAATCTTGTATAACTTGTACAAAAGTTTGCTTAAGTTATTTTGATGTTGTCATAACTTATTTTCATAATTTTTTTTACAGTGCACCAAACCTGTCCCTAACCTAAGCAGTATCACACATCAATAGCAGGTGTTTTTGCGTAAACAAGTACATTGTACCAACTTTTTAGATGTTAATTACACCTAATATAAGAAAGAAAGAAAGAAAGAAAGAAAGAAAGAAAGAAAGAAAGAAAGAAAGAAAGAAAGAAAGAAAGAAAGAAAGAAAGAAAGAAAAAAAGAAAAAAAGAAAGAAATCCCTTGTTATCTCTGACTATAAAATCCCTTCATTATTAATTGTCTTACTCATTAGGATTCCTCCTGTCGCACAATCTTTCAACTGCATGCTTTTAAATCATGGGAAACTGCAAACTCTGTGTGACACTGTAAAAGCCTATACTAATACATTATCCAGACTACTATGTGCCTGAAAAATTCAGAGGATATTCCCATCCCAGATAACACTCTTTAGCTTGATGGACCATTCTTATGTTAGACTCATTTAGATTATTATATTAAGATGAGGTGGATCTTAATGCTTCTTAAGTGTTCCCAAATTGCTAAATCTTGGGGGTTTTGCTTGAGACTCTTTCACTCAAAATGATTACTTTCACATTAGATTTAAAATACCATCATTCATAACAACAGGTTCAGAAATTGTATGGGTATTGCATAAGAAATTTATTACAATTTGAGTTCATTCCTACTCAGATGTTCATGTTTATTCATGTCTGATAAAATAATAATAATACAGTAATAATAATAATAATAATAAATTAATTAATTAAGGACAAAAGGGAAATTGTCACGGGGTGTGGTGGAGTGCAGGCAGAGGAAGACAGACTGAAGAGGCCGATGCTCCAATACAAATACTTTACTAAATAATTCAACACGGGTACAGGTTCAGGAAGACGGGCAGGACACTCACACAACGCAGTGTAACATTAACATCGATCGACAAAGACTGAAGGAAACTGAGGGAACTAAATACACAGGGGAATCAAACATAACAAGGTGGAAAACAGGTGTAACAGATTAACAGGACGCTGAACGGGAGGCTGATGAGGGAGTGAGTTCAGATGTGCAGACGAGAGGATCCTGGGAAGTGTAGTGCTGAAGACAAGACAGACTGGTGCAGACGGAGGACTGTGACAGAAATACTGTTCATTAGCTTAATAAATAACTTATTTTCGGCAAATGTAAATGTCAAAATGCCAATGTCCCAGTACAATACACTCAATGGTTCAATGAGATTCTATATAAAACTCTAGACTCAGTTTTGAAGAACTTTTTATGCCAAAACAGTTCTTTATTAGAAGAAATCTAAAAATGAAATAAGTATAAATTAAGTAAAACATAATTTTGTGTATAATGGGCTATTTAAGATGTGTTTATTGTTTAATTTGTGTTTAATAGGCTATTTCAAAAAACGTATTTTAAGTATGTTTGAGTTCAAAAAAGTAAATTAAAACTTTAATGAGTATACTTTTATTGTATGAGCAGTGTTCAATAAGTGCTAATATTTGATGTAACAGATCACTGGATGTAACAGCACCACTTCACTTATCTGTGTTTGCTATACTTAATTCCAAATGCTGATTCTGCTTTGGCTCCTTTCTGTTTCATTGATACAAAATATTGTACAAGCCATATTGTTTTCAAAAGTTTGG